GCAAAACTCACTTTTCCTTCTCTGCTTTTCACATTTGAACTGGAAAATAAGCCAGCCGTATTTCAACTCGCCGACCTTCTCCACGGGCTCACCCACCTTGTTTTCCTGTCGCGCGATCATCGAGTGAGGCTTGTTCAAGATTTTAGATGGATGTTTAGCAGGTTTCGGGGGTGTGTGTGTGTGTTGTCTTACAGGACCTCAGTTTTGGTCCTGTAAATTGGTTCTGCCAACAGTTGACCATCAGACCATGCGTAATCATCGTTAACAGATAATCAGAGTTGGAAGGGACCTTACAGGTCATCTAGTCCAACCTCCCGCCCAAGCCGGAGACCCTACACCATTTCTGACAGATGGCAGCCCAATCTCTTCTTGAAAGTCTCAAGTGATGGCACTCCAACTTCCGTTACACTGGTTGATTGTTCTCACTGTTGGAAAGCTTCTCCTTATTTCCAGGTTGAATCTCTCCTTGTTCCATTTCCATCCATTATTCCTTGTCTGGCCTTCGGGTGCTTTGGAGAATAGCTTGACCCCCTCCTCCTCTCTGTGGCAGCCCCTGAGATATTGGAAAACTGCTATCCTGTCTCCCTTGGTCCTTCTCTTCACTAGACTAGCTATGTCCAGTTCCTGTAACTGTTCTTTATGTTTTAGTCTCCAGTCCCCTAATCATCCTGGTTGCTCTTCTCTGTGTTTTTTTCTGGAGCCTCAACATCTTTTTTACATTGTGGTGACCAAAACTGGACGCAGTACTCTAGCTGTGGCCTTACTAAGGCTTTATAGAGTGGTATTAGTACCTCACTTGATCTCGATTGTATCCTTCTGTTAATGCAACTTAGGATTACTTTAGCTTTACATTAGCTCATTTGAAGCTGGGTGAAAATCCAGGTTAATTCCAAACCTGGTCACCACATTTTTCTGGTTCACATACAACCGGTGGCTGCGTAGAAATGAAATCCCCATGGAGTTTCTTACTACTGACTTGGAGAGAGCATCTCTAAAATGAAAGAATATGTCTCGGGAATTATTATTTTTTTAATTGCCACCGAGAGTGGGGCAGGCTGGAAAATCAAGGGGGGATGCTGGAAAGGGGCTTTCTGGCAACAGTTTATTTATTTATTGAATTTATTTGCTGCCCAATTTGTAATGAAATGACTCTGGGAGCATCTTCAGTTGATGTTTGCAGTTCCTCCGCTTAAAAGGCCGGCTTCTGAGCAGCCGTTGTCTCCATCAGCGATGGAATGTTGAAGGGGCCCATGGCTGACAGGGGGTCCCTCCTGCTTATAAGGGGCCCCCAGGGTCTAGTTGCACATTGAATCTGGAAGTCTGATGGGAAAGAACCAACTTATGATAGGGTACCAATGACAGGCACCGATCATGCCCACCGTCCCTGTCCTATTGTTTCTTTTTATTTTTCTTATACGTATCCATCTCATGTATTCATAACTATGTTTATACTCGTACCTGTTATCTTGTAAGTGATTGACAAATCAAATCAATCAATAAAAATAAAGCTGCCCCCGCTTGGGAAGAGAGCACAAGGCTGGGGCAGATGTCCCAACGGTCCAGCAGCAGCAGCATCCCGCTCTAAAAAGCTGGCATGCTGAGAATGGCATCCGTGCCAAGTCTGCAGTTCACCCATTGTGTTTTTAGGAACATCCCAACCGGGACGAGCAAATTTTCACGGTCTGTCAGGAAGCCAAGCCAAATCCCTTCAGGAAGAGGCTCGGTTGTCCTTCGCGTGCTGGTGGGGAGCAGGGAGGAGGCCCGGATGGTGGCCGGAGAAGGCTGGGTTGCATCCTGCTGGACGGGCCCCAAGACACTTCTGCCCTCCAGATCCAAAGGAGTCTTTTTCCATCCAGACATGGCAGCAGGAGAACCTGGGGTGGTGCTGCCCTCTGCTGGGCGTTCCCTGCAAAAGGCAGGCGGTGCTCACACAGGGAGGGAGGGGGCAGCTGTAGGATCCCCCTCCCTTTCCTCCCCCACCTCCTTTTTTAAAACCAAGTCTGGTTCCTGGATGGACGCCTTCAAAAGGTCCGATGTACCAGGCTTGAAATTCTAGACCTAGAAAATCTAGAACTACGCCGCCTTCGGTCCGATCTAAATATAGTATATAAAATTATACATTGCAATGTCCTACCTGTCAGTGAATACTTCAGCTTCAACCATAACAACGCAAGAGCAAACAATAGATACAAACTCAAGGTTAACCGCACCAAACATGATTGCAGGAAATACGACTTCAGCAACAGAGCGGTCAATGTCTGGAATACTCTACCTGACTCTGGGGTTTCTTCCCCAAACCCCAAAAACTTTAACCTTAGACTGTCTACTATTGACCTCACCCCTTTCCCAAGAGGTCTGTAGGAGGCGTGCATAAGTGCACCAAAGTGCCTACCGTCCCTGTCCTATTGTTTCTTTTTTATTTTTCTTATATATATCCATTTCATGTATTCATAACTATGTTTATACTTATACCTGTTATCTCGTAAACGATTGACAAAATAAAATAAATAAAAATAAACCTTCGAGCTTGGGGGAGGCGGTGGGGGGGGAGAACCACAGCTCTCATTAGCCTGGTTCGTGGTCAGGAGTTATGGGAACTATCGTCCAAAATGGCGGCTTGTGTAGTGGCTGAGATGACCGGGTTCTAAGTCCCAAACCTTCAATCCTGGGTGCTTATGGGAAGTGTGAGCGTCATCCCTTGGAAACCTGACAATGGGATGACTTGAGGCCACTCGCTGACTTTGAGCCCAGGATTGTATGTATGGAGGTGTTTATTTCAGATGTCTGGGCTTACATTTGAGTCCCAGGAATCTGGGCGGAAAAACAAGTGGAAAAAAATGGGGATGAAGTCCCCCAAAGCCCTCAAGTGGAGGGGAACAGCAGCTCACCTCCCCTCCCCCCGGCCTCACATAGACCCCTCCCATCAGTCCATCCCAGGAGTATGTGTGTGATTCTCTGAAGGCGAGGGATGTGTGAAACTCGAACCCGAATCCTTGCCTTGAGCCCTGCAGGGGGAAACGTCGGATAATTCCTAAGTGGCAGGTTCTTCTCCTGAATTTGGCCTGTTCTCACAGCCGCCCTCCCTGCAGGAAAGACTAGAATTGAATAGAATTCTTCTTTTATTGGCCAAGTGTGATTGGACACACAAGGAATTTGTCTTAGTGCAAATGCTCGAAGCCAAGAGCATTTAACCGAGGCAGCCGTCGTCGGCGCCATCTTGGATCAAGGCAGGAGCAACATACCGGTGGGATTAAAAAGGGACAAGAAAACAAACCACAGTTGAGGTGGAGACCCCAGAAGTGGGTCCTGCACCCCCTGATTCTCCCTTGCGATGCCACGCAGTGCACCTCTTTCCCCCCAAAGCCCTCCAGTTGAGACAGGTGATGCCCCACCAGGACTGAGCTGGCACGAGAAGCTGCGGGTACCCCAAACTTGGAAAAAATAAAGCAAAACGGTGTCATTCACACCATTGCACCGGTGCCAACCTGTTGCAATGAGACCCTCAGCCTAGAGAATTGTGTGACGTGGCCGGTGTCCTTTTTTGGTTTCTTCATTCCGTTAGGAATTGTGCCAGCGGAGAAGGGTGCCAGGCTCTTGACTTCATCAAACCTCCCAAATTTCCAAGGGTGTCTTTTGCCACCCGCAGAGGGCATCTCAGGAGGGAGAAGGGCTGCAAAATAGCCCAGCTGGTGCTGATTGCAAGAGGGGGCACCCCACAATTGTGTGTGTGTGAGTGGATTAGGCCTTTCCTGGGTGTGGAACAGAGGGTGTAGATCCGATCCAAGGATTTATGTTTTTAGGAAAACAGTTAGACAATTCTTGGGTCTGGTCTGAGACTTCATTCCCTGGATTTTGTTGAAGGGAGAACCATCAGCTTTCAAATGTGTTCATCCTGGGTTTGACATTGATTTCCCTTTTTGACACCCCCTCCCCAAAAAGGAAGCATTGAACTGACCCATAAAGCCCCTTCTCTTGCTAGCCAATGTGCCAGCTCCAGTTTTGGGCATGGGAACATCGAATCTGGCATGCATTTGCCCAGCCACGTACAGAAATCTTTTTAAATCCTTTTTAACAGAATGCCCAGACAATGCTTAAACCAGAGGAGGTCAAAAAGCTTGGGTGTGGGTCTGTGTGTTTGTGCGGGTTTGGGTCTCGGAGAGGGAAAGACGTTTATCTGGAAGGAAAGCAGACCTCAAGTGCTAGAATTAAGTCATATCCACAGGAGAACTTCAACGGCCGTCTGGGTCAATGGCAGCCTGTTGAAAGCACAGGAAACCCCCCCTCCCCAGGCCCTCCCCCCCCTCCCCAAAAGACAGCGCCAAGAAGGGAAAGAGAAAAGAATTTGGCGTTACATTTATCATCCTGGAAACATGAGTGGTTTTACATTGTGTGTTCAACCGTTTCCCCCCTCTCTATTTGGCGAAAGTCTTCCACAAGGAGATAACCCCCCTGCCCCCCCACCCGGGAAACGCTGGCCACCCCCCCCCCCCCGCCCCCAGCTGCTGTCATCCACCCCGTTTTCCTTCTCTCTGCAGTTTGCTCTTTCTTACAGCGGGTTTTGTGAGGTTGCCCGTGGCAAGAGAACCTGCCTCTAAATCGGGACCTTGGCCCAAAATAAATCATTCAAGGCGATTTTGATGCTGGATCAAAGGCCGATCTTCTCTCCCGCTCCCGGGTGAGGGGTGGGGGACTGTGAGTCTGGGGGCTGCCTTGGCTGATAAAAACAGGGCAGCCACCTCACTCCATGCCTCATTCGACACCTCCCGGCAACGCAAGTGGGGTGTTATATCGCACACCAATTCTCGATTTTGTTTTTTGCTTTAAGTTGGCTGTGAAGAACGCTTCCAATGCATCCCCCGTGCATTCTTCTGCCTTTTTCTTTCTTTCTCCCTTTGGGGAAAAGAGGAATGCAGAGAAAACATGGATAGCTAACTTCGGATTCAGAAGTTAAGGCCTCTCTCTCTTTTTTTTTTTTTTTGTCTTGGGCGGCGGGAGGAAGGACACTGCTGGTGGGGGGCGAATGCTTGCAATGGCAGGATTTGCACCCCTGAAACTACGGCTTGCCTTGGGGGACGGGGGGACTGTCAGAAATGTGTGTGTTGCAGATCCAGGTGTGTTTGTGTTTTTTCTCTCTGTTATTGGCAGCATCAGAAAATGTTCAGTCTGTGCTTCATGGGCACAGGAGGGAGTGTGGTTTATATTTGGATGTGGGCAACCCCGGTTGTCGGTTGTGAAGCTGCCATTTTGCCTCCCGGTTGGGGATAACTTGACACAGGGTGCATTCCTAGTCTTCTTTCCTCCCTCCCTTCTTTCTTTCCTTTCCTTCCTTCCTCCCTCCCTTCTTTCCCCCCTCCCTTCTTTCCTTTCCTTCCTTTCCTTCCTTCCTTCCCGTTCTCTTCTCTCTCTCTCTCTTACACACACACATGCACTCCTTCCTACATAGTGACTCTTCGCACAGTTCCATCCCTTTGGTCAGCTCCTTCGTGCGTGTCTGCCCGGCATTTACTACGAAGGCCTCGTTTCTGGTCCTTGGAGGGCTCTCCCCACATCTGGCCCTTTTGGCAACGTATCCTGGACTTTTCCCCCCTCTTTTCACGGTCATCAGCCCTGCAGGCGTCACTCTTTGGGGCTCCACGTGAACCAGACGCCCGAAATGCAAGTCCAGTCCTTTTCCGAGGTTGTGAAATTGTCAAACAGCTCCTTGCTGGTGGCTGTTTATCCCCCCTCGCCTGGTATCAGTGAGGGTTTGGGTTAGTGGTGGGAGCTATCGCAGGCTCTCCTCACCCCAGATGGCCTTCACCCCAGGTGGGAGCATCACAGGTTCTGGCTACTTGGGCCAAATTTCCTGAATCTCTGCAGAATCTCTCTCTTTGGACCCAATAAAACCTCTATTTTTTTTAAAAAAAAAACACCAGCTTTTCTCCTGATTACCCCACTCCCATCTTCTCCAGTAGAACCCCAGAAGTTCAGCTGATAAAGGAGACAGGGAGGAAGGAGACATCTGGAGGGACACACCAGGTTTCTTTAGCTCCAAAATCCTGGCCCCAATGTGTCCCCCTCAGCTCTAAACGTGCTGGTTCAGGAGGAGTCAACTTCTGCATGGAGATATCTGGAAATCACAGCTCAACTAGAACTAGCTTTCTCTCAGATGTTGACCTTTGTTGACCAAACGGTAGAACCTTTTTTTGCATTATCTAGGCCATGTGGAAATGATCTTTGCCCCTGAGATATCTTGATGTCCTTCAAGCCTTGGGAGCAATTTCTGGCCAGGGCTCTTTGTTCAGCCATCGGGACTGAGGTCCTCTCCAGATGGGAGTGAAGATGTTGAGAACGTTTCCCGATGGGCCTTCACTGCTTTACGAGGGTATCACAGTCTGCAAACCAGCCAACCATGTCAAGAAGTTGGGTGACATTTCTTAGGAGGCTTCAGATGGTATCTGGAGGAAGACACCTGCTTCTGAGATGGCCAACTTCTGCGGGTTACTTTCGGTGAATCCATTTGAGGATTTCTGCCTTGCAGAGCGAATCAACTGCGGTCTGTCCCTCGAGCATTCCTATGCGTGAGCAACACAGCTCCCCTTCCGGTCAAGCTCATCCTCGGACAGACTGATGTGCAGGCAGGTTTCGTCGATGCTCAAGAAGGGCTGTGAGGCACCCCAGTTCTCAGCTGCTTCCACCCACATACGGGCTTCTGTTGGCCGCCCAACACTCTCCTGGCCTTGGGTTTTGGCACGGGCACTGGCGTTCTGGCTTCCTCCCAGCATCCTGGCTTCAGACTCGGGCCTAGACAAGACGCCTGGGCTGCTGAGCATGGAGGGTTCAGGGGCGGCCCTGGAAGACGCTCCGATCTTCTCTGCCTCTGAGCTGGGAGAGATGGTTTTACTTGACCTCCTTCGCAAGGACGGTGGAGGTGGATTCAGCTTGGGGATAAACAGCTGCAACCTGTCAAATGAGGACGGGAAGCGGGTCAGACTCAAGGCCAGTCGTGGTTGGGTGTGGCACCTCAACCTGAGAAGGAAGCAATTCACGGCTGAGTTGGGTCAGTGCCGATTAGAGCCACCACAACTTACCTTTCCTTCAGCCTCAGGGCATCTGGACCACTGGAAGTCGGTTGCGTGCTTCCATTGGGTCCACTGCATTCATCTGCCTCAGATCCCTCCACGCTGCGGAGCCCGTCGGGCCCTTCCAGAATCGCCAGGTGTTCCTGTTTCTCCAGCCTGCCAGACAATCCGCTACCACCCATCTCCAAGTTGGTCAAGTTCTGGTGGGATTCATAAGAAGCTAGGTGTGTCGTGGGGCTGCCCACGATGCTGGCTGGTGTTGAGGTGGAAGACAGGTTGAGTTCCAGACTGTAGTGGTCCTTCAGGTTAAGGGACAGCGGGTGCTCGGAGCTCAGGTTCTGCAAGGAACGTTCAACTGGGGGCGAGAGGGGGAGGGCCTGGTTCAGAGACACCTGGAGGCCGGCAAGTTTCGTCTCGTATTGTAAGAAAGTGCTACTCTGGTTGGCCAATTTTCTTCTGACCTGTTCTCTGGTGGCCTCCCTTCCTCGCTCCTCTCCGCTCCTGCCCATTTTCCTCCATTCCACCTCCCGACCCCCTCGGTTCTCCTGCTCCCAAGGAGCAGGTGGCAAGGGACAGCTGACCACCCCAGCTGCACTGGATCCCTGGCTCACCTGGACGCCGCAGCTGGACCTTGATCTCCAGCTCCTTCAGTTGCCTCACCAGCAAGGAGACATGTTGAAGGAGATCGCGGTTGGTCAGGAGCAGCTGGCGGACACGCGCCTGGGCCTCCACGCGGGCCGTGGTCTCGGCGGAGAGCTGGTCCTCTAGCAGCTGCACCTGTTGGGGACAGGACGTGCGTTTGGCACGGCAGGCATCTCCTCGCTGCCCCCAGGGAGGGCAGGTTCTGACCATGGACGTTGCACCAGGCGCGCAAGGCTGGAAATTGTCGTGGGGCCCCTGGTTGGATGGCAGCTAGAGCTCACTTTGCAGTTTGGACAGGTGGAAGATCCTGTCTGCTATAACGTCCATGCCAGGATGCTCGACCCTAGAAGTCCACGCAGACTCTTCCCTATCACCCCTTGGGGAACCCCGGTTGGACTCGCAGCTCCCACGCAATCGTTGTGGCCAGGAGTGCCACAAGCCAAGTTGGTGAGCTGCCCGGAAGCCTCCTTCAGGGGGTGACCCGAGTGAAGGGTGGTTGTAACTGGAGGAGCAGAGGAAAAAAAGGACAGGTGCCCAGGCCTGGGAACTTTTGCACCCAGGACAGAGAAGGCTTACCTGTGCAACTGCCACCTGCGTCTGCTGTTGCTGCTGGAAGAGCTGGTGTTGGAGCAGCTGCAGGCAGTGCTGGGAGGCAAGTGGGGTGGCCGAGGCGGAGGACGAAGGGCTCCCCGTGCTGCCGAGGGGCTGGGCGGAGGAGGGCCGGAAACCGCCGTTCTCCTTTTCCTGGAAGCCAGAAGAGACCGGAAATGGGGGCTGCTCCTTTTGCCCCACCCCCAGCCAGCCCCACGGATCCAGCTCCCCAGTTTCATTTTCATGGGTCTCCCCAAGGAGTCACCCACCTGGCTGTCCTTCGCCTTGAGGCTGAGCCCATTGTCCAGCTCTCCCAGGTCAGGCACAGAGAAAGGCAGCTCGCAGACCCCGCAGTCAGGCAGGCAGACCCCTAGCGACCCAGCCAAGCCGAGGTCTTGGTCAGCCAAGGCTTGTTCTGAGGGTTGGAGACCTTTGGGGGACAACAAGCAAGGCAGAAAAAGTGAGGCGCACCTGGGATTCCGGCGTTGGGGAACTTTGGGTCGCCTTTCTTCAAGCTAAGGTATGAGTTGGTTCTCCAGAGCAGTGGTCGCCAACCAGAGGGCCGGGGACCACTGGTGATCTATGAGAAAATTTTGGTGGTCTGCAGAGAAATGTCCCTCCCCCCAAAGCAATTAGTCCAGGCTGTTCAGGAACACAAGCCTGCACCGCCCACATGGCCCGCGGGAACATAAGGCTTGCATCACTTGCATTGCAAACAACACGAGGTAGTGAGGGGAGGAGGAAAAGGGTGGAGGAGAGGAACTTGCCCCAAGCGCCTGTGGGCCCCTCTTATTTTCCCATCTCGAATCCTCCACTTTTAGGAAGCCGAGGTGGGTCCCCTTCTCCAGATTTACGATCCAGGAAGGGTCCCTTCAAAGTCTCACCTTCTACCTGAGCGCCTTCGGCAGAGTTGTTGCTGGCACCGTCGGCTTGCCCATCCGCATTTTGGAGGGCGTGCTGCAGGCTGAGTTTATGGCACACCTCGAAAGCTTGGCCCACCGTCCGCACCACGCGCATCGCCTGGGTCTGCGGGAAGATAACCGGGTTAACAAGGCGCCAAGGCTTGGCACGAGGTAGCCCAGGTCAGCCCAGGTTGGCTTGCCTTCTTCTTGGACTTGAAAACGTTGCAGCGGAAGGAGTTGTTGGTGCCGTCCCTGGCGATGTAGCTGAAGATCTTGAGATCTTGGGAGTCATGAGAGACGTAAAAGATCCTGAGGGAAGGTGGGACCAGAGACAGGGGTCATCTTTTTTCTTTTTTTTTTAGTAAAAAGTTTTTTTTATTTTTTAATATACAACAAATCCATTTCAATCGTGTGTCGATCAGGTACATATTTCAGTTATTTAACCATTATTAATAATGTTCTTCTTGTCAAATTTAACAATACAATAATCACATTCTCGTGCAAATAATATAAATGAAGTCCAGTATATCTATTACATTAATTTCTCTTATTACTCTATAAATACATCCAATCCCTTTTAATTTATTCTAACTTCTATCAATCAATAAAACAAATCCCATACCATATAATACTCAGATTCTTCTTTTTCTTTACTTTCTAGTGTCAGTCTGTTCATTTCTGCGCGTTCAAATAGTTTTTTCAATTATTTTTCCCTCTATCGGTATCTTATCACTCTTCCAGTTTTGGGCAAATACAACGCTAGCCGCTGTTAAATTGGCACGATTGTATAATTAAGTAAATCTTTTCTTTACTATAACCTTCTGGTACCATTCCTAATAGGAATATTTCAGGCTTCAAATCTATATGTTGTTTAATCATTTTTTTCCAACCATGTTTAGCCAATACCTTTTAGCTTCCATGCAAGTCCACCACATATGGTAATATGTTCCTGGTATTCAATGACATTTCCAACATCTAATTGATTTATCTAAGACAGGGGTCTTAGGCCAATCTCATCCCTTCCTTGCTCAACCTTGGCAACTTCACGATGTGAGGACTTCAACTTATCACAGGGAATTCTGGCAATTGGAAGTCCACCCATTTACAAGCTGCCATGGTTGAGAGCAACTCAACCACTCAACCACTCCAAACATTCAGAAACGCTAGCACAGTGTTGTACTTTATTCTCCAGAGGTTCTGGAGGGCTTGATGCCTGATCACCACCTTGGATGGCTGAACACCCCGGACATCCTTGAATCGGGGAATCTTTAACACCCAAACGATTCCATGGTCCTTTCCAGGTGTGTGCAATTCCTTCCTTTCCCCCATGGAAGGGGGGCAGCTGTATAGGGGTGGCTGTCCGGTCTCAAGTTAAGGGATGTGTTGTTACAGATAGCCCTTAACTTATGACCGTTTGTTTAGCAACTGTCATCGTGGCACTGAAGAAAAGGGCCTTGGGTCTGGGGCACCGCGATGTGCACGGAGAGGCAAGAAGAGGCGAGTTAATGGCCAGGGGCTCACCGATAGACGGGGTCATGCATCACCAGCACTTTGCCTTCATCCCAGGTCCATTCCTTCCTCTGGAAAGGAGATCGGGAGAAGAGACGGCGTTAGCAGGGCCAGCTGTTTTGGGCTTGGTAGCTGTACAGCTCCCCGTATTCTCCCGGAGTCGAGGGCAGCAAGGACTCGGCACCCCTTGACTAAGGCCTTGGGACGAGGGAACCTCAGACAAGCTGCAAGAGCAAATTCTGGGCTTCCTTTCTCCCCCGCCAAGGAAGACAGCGAGGGGTCAATTGATAAGCCATAAAGAGAGTTCCCCGAAACCCACCCTTTCCACCCCAGCTGCCTAGATCGCCCTGGGGCTGTACCCCGCTTCTCTCTGGGCTCCCCAAGGCCTGGTCACTCACCTTTGGCTTCTTCCGCAGCAGTACCTTCACCCCGTCCACGGAGACCACGATGTTGACTTTCCTCTTCTTCACGTTCTTCGCTTTAAACTCATACTGGGGGGAGAGAGAGAGAGAGTGGGCCATCAACAACCTGGGCACAGGACGTCCTCGGCTTAAAGGCCATTCGCTAAGTGAGGCGGTTGTGAAATGATTTGCCAGCCCTCAACCCCACATCGCACGACGTCCTTGGCCACGCGTGTTAAGCAAATCATTATCTAAGGAAACCTCTCTTGTCAGTCACATCCACCCGACCCATTGAGAGCAAGGAGGCAGGGAATGTTGTGAGTCCCACACCTGAGGGAGATACACCTGGTGGAGCCTAGAAGAAGGGCCTTCTCCGTGGTGGCTCCGTCTCTCTGGAGTATCATCCAGCCAGAGACTAGAATGGCCCCCTCACTAATACTCCTTCGAAAGGCACCAAAGACCTGGTTTTGCCAGCGGGCCCATGGAACCCAGAGAGGGATGGAGTCCATCCAATGGCTAGTCTGATCTGTTATCGTCGGGGAGGAGGGCGGTGGAAGTTGGTTTTTGATTTTTTTTGTTTTTGTTTTTCCCAAATTTTGTTCTATTGTACTTTACTAACTTATTTGATTCTTTTTATTAGTTTTTATTGTTTTTATTTTTTTGTTTTAAATATGGTTTTTACATGGTGTAAACCGCCTCGAGTCGCCCTGGGTGAATAGGCGGCAATATCAATTAAATCAATAAGTCGCCGCCTTTCTCAAGTGAATCCTGCTCCCTGCCCCCCCACCCCCCCCAAATGGAAGAGTCAGTCAGGAAGCTTTCCTGAAAGCGTGGCTGGCTTGTGGCTAAATTTCTCGTCCTTCGGTAAAAATCTACTTTTCTGGATTCCAACGTCTCCAAATCCCCGGATTCTGCTCTGCGATAAATACCAGCTAAAGCAACCCCGAACGAGGTTGCATGCTGGCTTAGCGTGTTGGGCAAACCAGCCAGCACCCGTGCCGTGAAATTGACTTCTTATTCCAGGAAAGGATGTGTGTGTGTGTGTTGGGGCGAAGGGGGGAATCTGGCAAGTGGGCTGTGGCTTTTCCTTTGCTCCTAATCGAGGGGTCTTTTAGGGGACACACCCCCCGCAACTCATTAGGGCTTCCAGGCACGTCTGTTCCGGCTCTTCACTTGCGCAACCCTGCTTGAAAGTCACCCTATTGATTTGAGGAGCCGTGAAATTTGGGCTTTTTCAACAGCCTTTGTATTCAGGGCAGTTTGTTGGTTGGGGAGGGTAGAAACCCAGACCGCAAATAAATCCAAACGCGGTGGTGAGATACGAAGAGGAAAAGGTTTCCTGGGCACCAGGGTGGCAGGTTGGCAGTGCCATCCAAGGAGGGGGGGAATGCAGAGAACAGCTGTGCCACAGGAGGGAGACGGAGGACACGATTCAGAGGGTGGGTGGCATCGTCAGGAAAGAGGAGTGGGTGGTGGCAACTCTGCTTAATATTCCAGGCCGCTCAGAGCGGAGCTGCTATTGCTGACAAGCCAGAAGAAGACGGGGCTTTGGGGTTTGCAGGGAGAAGGAGGCTTAATTTCATCTCAGAAAGCTCGACAACTCCAGACAGCTAATAATAATCCAAGAGGAGGTTTAAAAATACATTCAAATTCAGGCTTAGCTTGGCTTTAATGACAGCGTCGTCTGGCATAACCTGCTCTTATCCACCACATTTGCATTCCCGCTTGATTCTTCCCCTTTTCTCTCTTTCAAGTCCTGGCTCTTCCTTCCTCCTGGTTAGTTCTTCTTCTCCAAGGGAGGGTTTCAACTCAGAAAACCACCGCCTTTGATCTCTGCTCCGCAGACTTCCCAGTTTTGTGGGGGTGGTACACCAGGAGAAAATGCTTAGCCCTCCTGGCTGGGCATGTGTTCCTCCCACCCACCCAACCTCCGTTCTCGTTGACAGCTTCTCCCAAAGGAGAAGATCTTTGCAAAAAATTGGGGGGGAAGAAATCGTGGGGTTGTTTGGCAGTTTGGCGGCACGTCCAAAGAATTGGTGGCATCAGTTGTGCAACCACGTAACGTTCTGGGTTTTTAAGGAGGGCGGAGAATGTCTTTGTAGGATCCAATCTGGGTCTGTCTCTGGGAGCAGAGGTTTTTTTGGTCTTCTGAGCTTTCATAGTCTTTGCACTTTGAGGTTGGCGACGAGAATCGTTTCGATATTGTGTTGTAGGAACACTGTTGGGTATGGTTGAATTCTCACCCATCCGTTGGGTTTCTCGTGCTTCTCCCCATCCTCTCCACGCTTAATCATTGGTTTCTGTGAACCAGCTCCTGTGTGGGTGGCATCTCAACTGCATTTTGGTTTGCGTTCTCTCCTTTTTTTTTTTTCTCCCCTCAAGTATTTCTTCTGGCAAAACAGGTTCTTCCCCCACTGAATGTACAAGCGAAAGAGAGATTAAAATTCTTGATTTTGCTCTCCCTGCTGTGAAAAAAAAAAAATCTGTTCTTTGGCTCAGCCAAAAGGTGATGTATGAATCAAGAAAGGAAGCACAAGCCATAATAAAATCTGTTGGTTGCAAGATTCATAGGGCACCTTCTGTTCTGCTAGAAAGCCAGGCAGATGCCTCCAATAGAATCACAGGATATATAAGGAGACACTTGGCCTCAGATCCCTTCCATGGTTTCCACCCCACTCCTCATCTCTTGACAAAGGACGCAAGGGAGATGTGGGCTACAAACAGTGGCTCTCAACCTTGCCCACTTGAACTCTAGAAAAAAGTGCAGAGAAGAGCAACCAGGATGATGAGGAGACTGGAGACGAAGGCATATGAAGAACGGTTACAGGAACTGGGCTTGGCTAGTCTAGTGAAGAGAAGGACCAGAGGAGACATGATAGCAGTCTTCCAATATTTGAGGGTTGCCACAGAGAGGAGGAAGGGGTCAAGCTATTTTCTAAAGCCCCCGAAGGTCAGACAAGGAATAATGGATGGAAACTGAACAAGGAGAGATTCAACCTGGAAACAAGGAGAAACTTTCTGACAGTAAGAACAATCAACCCGTGGAACAGAAGTTGCCCTCGGAAGTTGTGGGAGCGCCATCACTTGAGACCTTCAAGAAGAGATTGGACTGCCATTGGTCAGAAATGGTGTAGGGTCTCCCGCTTGGGCGGGGAGTTGGACTAGATGACCTATAAGGTCCCTTCCAACTCTGATTATCTGTATTAACATGGGTGGACTTCAACTCCCAGAAGTTCACAACCAGCATGCTGGGAGTTGGGGGTCCATCCATGTTGGCTGGGGAATTCTGGGAGTCAAAGTCCATCTTCAAGAGGGCAAGGACAAGGTTGAGAAATACCAGTGAACTTTCCTTGGAACCATCTCTCCAAAGAAGCTGGCATGGCACTTTTGGCACCAAGTGAAGGACTTTTCAGAACTGGGTTTTGCGCTGTTGGGTATTTGTTTTAAAGGCCAGCCACAGCCTGCCCTGTTCAATTGGCCTGGGAAGTGCAGGCCCACCAGGTTAAATCCTGCAAAACCAGTGGCAAGGTGGTCAGAAGAGGAAGAAGGATGCCAGCAGCCAACAGGCCCTTTGGTTGTGTTAGAGGGCATCAGCTCTGGTCCTTCTACCCAGCCTCTCCCAACTTGATGCCTTCCTGGTGAGTTGGGAATTGCGAGCTTGTGGCTATTTTCTTGTCCAGCGAAGACTGGAGTCATTGGAGTTTTTAGTCATTGGAGACGGAGATCTGAGCAGAGGTGTGGGTCAGAGTGGGCAGATGGCCAGTTTATGAGTTTCTCCTTCAACTTCCCGTGGCCTGCCTCTCCCTTCACTCTTTTCCCACCTCCACCTCCAATGTGGGCCACACCTTGGGCGCGAGCACCTGCCGGTTTGCCTGCTCACCTCAACCGTGCAAAAGTGTGTCTGGTGGAAACCGTGGTCCAACACAACCTTGGGGCAGACCACTTTGTCCATCTAGAACAGGTGATGCTCACGCACCCACAGCCCACCTGCCTCCCACCTGCCGTGGCTCCCACCGCCCACGAGGATCCGGGGAGGAAATGAAGGCAACCCTCCCCCCTCCCTTGAACCATGGCTCTTTGACCTCCTCCTGCCCCTTTTCTCCATTCCTGGCTGCCTTTCCTTGGCTCTCGTCTTCCTTCCGTTCCAGAAGAGAGGCCGGCTGTGGGCTCAGGCACGAAGACAGCGGGAGCCTCGCCAAGCCGAAGATGGCATGGCTGCTTCTCGGAGCGGAAGGAGTGGGTGGTGGCATTTGGGGAGAGGAATTTGGGAACTAGAGAACACCATGCCTTCCTCCCCATCTCCCCTTCTGACAGAAAAATGCTTCCCGGGGCCTTGGGGGGTTTGGGGAGGCGAGGGAGCACAGGGAAGAGGCAAGGGAGGAGAGAAGGGGTCTGCCATGACTCACCCGGATTCTTCTCATGGCGGCCACAATCTCCATACGGCTGTTGGGTCTTGGCACGTCCAAGCTACCAATGTACTAGAGAGAGAGGGAGAGAGAGGAGGTGGAATGCCATTTAACCCCAATGCCAAAAGGCCCAGGAAGGAGCTTTGGTGCCCGTGGGCAGCCGCTCTTCAGGATCTGCCCTGGGCATCGGCGAAGGCTCCTCCCTCCAGTCCCCAATTTTGCTTGCCACCCGGTGCCACAAGTGGCTCAAAGGTCCCCAAGAAAAGTCGGACTCCCATGTATTTTTTCCCCCAGCAGTCTGGCCCTTAATGGGTAGTTGAATCCCGCATATTTGGTGAGCACCACAGAAAGTTCAAACTCCGAAACGAGCACTTGGAAAAAACAAAAAAGCTAAAGCAAAAATCGGGAAACAAAAATCGGGACGGGGACAAAATTTAAGCAGGCAACGAACCATCTAAAAAAAGAAAAAAGAAATATGGGCCGTTGGTTCCATGTTTGAGAGGCTTAACAAGGGTTGGTTGGCTTCCAAATGTAAACAACTAATAATTGACACCTGCAAGTGTAAATAATTGTTCATACACTATTTTTAAATCCTCTCCCCTCAAATGGTTCTAATTAAAGACCAAAAAGGCCTCCGTGCCAGGAAATCGGCTTCTTTTTTCTTTTCCTTTCTTCAGCTCTGGAGTGTTAACTCGGTGTATTTTTATCTCCTGAAGCTTTCATCAGGCTAGTGTATTGGGTTATTATTATTATTATTATTGTTGTTGTTGCTGTTGTTGTTTGTTATTGTTATTGTTATTGTTTGTTATTATTATTATTGTTGTTGTTGTTGTTGTTGTTGTTATTATTATTATTATTATTATTATTATTATTATTATTATTATTATTGAACCCAATACATTAACCTGATGATGGCAGATGAGATTCTGCCGAAACTTCACTTTAACTCTAAGAGCACAACTATTAAGATGTGGGAAAATACCAGAACAAACCTAAATACTAGATAGATAGGTAGATAGGTAGATAGATAGATAGATAGATAGATAGATAGATAGATAGATAGATAGATGATACATAGATAGATGATAGATAGATAGACAGACAGACAGACAGACAGACAGACAGATAGATAGATGAGTGGATGGATGGATATGGATATATAGATAGATATAGATATCTCCCTCCTTCCCTCTCCCTCCCTCCCCCCTCTCTCTCTCACACCCACCCACCCAAGCCCACCCACTCTGCTCTCCAAAATGGCCACTCCCAGACACCTCCTCATTTAGCAATATCCTGGGTGCCTTCAGAGAAAAGGAGGCCAAGACAGAACCTGGCCAGACCTCCTTCAGAAAAGCAGCCCAGCCTACCCAGGTTTAAAATAGACTTTCCACAAAGCAGCCATTTTCAGCTTTTGTCCCTATTGTTCCAGGAATGTTTAATCAGGGAAAGGTAGAGAGAATAACCTGCTGGCAACAGAGTTAAATTCCACTCCCATCGGGAGATCCTGCACAGATTAAAATAGGCCGCAGTGCGTGGTAACTTAGCTGGCCACTGAAATGCTGCCCCTCAGGAGATCTCAGTGATTCCAAATTGTGCCCATCCTGACCCACTGCAACGACTGGTGGGGATAAGGCCGAAATCAGCCAAAACTGTTATTTTGACCTTTGGCAAAACTGGTGCCTGAATGTTTGCTGGCTAGGGGAGGAATTTTCCCATTTTAGCCTGCTCATTAATTCTGTGGGAAACTGTCCAAGTCATTTAAACTCTGAAATCTAAGGACATTAAAATAATGGTTTTAAAAAGCATCCAACAGGACAAACCAGTTTATGAAAAGCCAGATCAAGCCTGGGTGGTGGGCCTGTTTGGTGTTTCCGGCCCCTAAAATTTCTTGGCTCTACCCCACGGAAGGAAGACCAACATTGGCTAGTCAATGGGGGGTGGGTGGGTAGGTGGGGTGGTCCTTAACCAGGTTTTTGCCTGGTCTTGGTTGACCCAGCATCCTCATGGGAATGGCAAGATAAGGAGCGGAGGGAGGAACAAGGGCAGACGAAAAGAGGAACATGGCACGTTTTGACATGTCTTCCAATCTGACCAGCGCATCGGGGGTGGGGGGTGGGGGGTGGGTGTTGCCACACCTAGGCCCGGAAGCTCGGAGGGAACTAGCAGCTAAATAAGTCTTCAGTTCACACCTGATGCCCAGCGGGTAGACTGTGCCAGCAGAGAGAGAGAGAGAGAGAGAGAGGCTCTGTTTCAAACTTCGCTGCCTTTGCGTCGCATCGGGAGTCAGTCCCCAATGCAGCAGTGACCAAGCAACTCTGCCCCTTTTTCCTTGCGCGGATCCTTCCTTGCCTGGCTTTTTCCAGACGCGGCCGGCCGGCTAAGCTGCCCGCAAGTGGATCCGGCTAAGGGCCACAGAGACGTGTCCTGCGCCGGAGCTCTGCTCCCCTGGCCCCGGTGGCCCAGTGGACGGAGCTAGGGAGGGCACCAGTGGGGCGATCCAAGTGCGTTCAGGAAGGAGCTGGTGCAAGGCGGGGCTGGGGGCACCACGGCCTCTCGGCTGACCAGACAGGACGCCCTTCCCTTCCCTTCAGTCTTCCTTTCCTTTCCTTTCCTTTCCTTTCCTTTCCTTTCCTTTCCTTCCCTTCCCTCCCCTCCCTTCCCTTCCCTTCCCCACTCTCACCTTGGCCTGGAAGTGGATGCCGTGTTGGAAGGCTTCCTCGTTGTGCAGCGGCACCCGCGCGTCCCCCGCGTCGTCCACCAGGTTGTAGCGGTTCTGGAGCTTCCCGGGCATCTTGCGGCGGCGGCGGCGGACGAGGCTCCCGAGGGCTTGGCCGGCGCCAACGCATCGCCGCCCCCGGCTCTGCCCTGCCCGGCCAGCCGCTCTGCCGCCCCGCGCGCCCTGAGAGCGGCGCGCTGTGTGCGAGGAGCGTAAGCGCTCGGCCGCCCAGGAGACCGGGCGAACCAGGCAGCCTGCGTGGCTCCTCCCGGGTGCCGCCCGGGTGATGCGCCACGTCGGGGCGGAGCGAGGCGGGAAGGGGAAGAGGCGGCCGGCCCCCGGGAAGCGCCCCCCACCTCCCCGCCCCGGGCTCCCCTTCCCGCCGATGCTGAGGCCAGGGCGCGGCGCTGTCCAAAGCACCAGCCCAGAGGACCGGCTGGAGGGTCTCAAGGGGCACCAGAGGGGGGGCGGCGAGCGAGCAGGACCTCAGGCCGCCTCCCCTCTCCGTGACCTTTCTGGTGGGGGCCCTTCAAGACCCCCCAAGTCAACCGGAGGCCCCCTTTCTCCCCCCTCTTTGCCTCTTGTAGAGATTTTGTTTTTTCAGTGAAATATTTTAGAAGCAGCTCAACATTTACAAGCTTGTTTCAGACAAGAAGCCTTGTTTTCTTTTTTTAAATTTTTTAAATAATTTTTTATTAATCAACTAAAAAAGAAAGACAATGAACGTGGTGCATACATCCTGACACAGCTACTTCTCTTACATCATTAAGCAATAAATATAAAAAAAATAATACAAAATTACATATATACATAAACTTTAGTCATCTTTGATACACTTATTCGTTCCTTTTTTCAACCAGTGGTAAAACTTCTCCCAAATTTTATAATAATCAGATTTGGTCTTATTTTTTAATTCTTGAGTTAATTTATCCATTTAATTTAAACATTGTCTCGATCAGACAGGGTTGTTGTTTTTCCACCCCCCCATCCAAACATTTTTGCTTTAACTGTGGGACTGTTGAGTCTGTGAAACCAACCCAGGAAATATAATTTCCTGGGTTCTAACTTATAATTTATAATAACCTATAATTTAAAGTACATTTTTTTGTTTACATTTTCTACAGGCGTTAAGCCTAAATTTAGCCCAAATGCAGAAGGCTGTTTTGCCCTCTTTCCCTCACCCAAGTTTGCTCCCAGGAGGCCAGAAAGGGCTGCCCAGGTCACACACACACACACACACACACACACACACACACACACCCCAATACCAAGCCAGGATGGGGCCAATTTGGTGGAATGTATTGTGCAAATCAAGCTACTTGTGGCTTCTTTGTATAACCAGTGGCCAAAATGTGTCCTTGCAAATGGGGTTCAGCCCTAATAAATATCAAATTTAGTTTAGTTTAGTTTACTTTATTGTCATCGCTCCTCGTACAATGAAATCAAACACCGTCTTCAGTGCACATCACGACCATGAAAATAAACACAAACACACACCCTTCACACTCCACATATTGAACCGAAAACCCCCGACACCACACCAACACTGCACTATATAGCGGAATTCAAAAGAGCTACTGCCCTGGGATAGAAGCTGTTTTTCAGCCTGTTTGTCCTTGTTTTTAATTATTCTGTACCGTCTGCCAGATGGTAATAGTTCAAAAAAAAAAAAAGGTGCCCAGGGTGAGATGGATCTTTAAGGATGTTTTGAACTTTCTTAAGGCAGTGGGAGCTCTAAAGCTTTTCCAAAGAGGGGAGAAGGCAACCCATGATCCTCTGGGCAATGATGTTAACCCTCTGGAGCACCATCCTATCTGCCCCTGTGCAATTGGCAAACCATACACAGGTGTGCAGTAAGTTAAGATACTCTCTATGGTGCAGCAGTAGAAGGTCACCAGCAGTTTTTCATTCCATTGTTGTTTTCTGAGAGGCCTCAGGTAGTATAATCTCTGCTGGGCCATTTTGATCAGGGCTGCAATGGAGGCACCCCCAGGTCAGGTCCTCTTCAGTCCAGGGGTCCAGCCAAGCTTTCTTCTCTCAGCATGCCTGCCCAGTTGGGGTCCACTGGAGGCCTCCAGGAGGAACAGTTGTTGGAAGACGTCAAAGTTACTTAAAAACAAACTGGGAAAAGCCCCATTACTTCGATAGCACAAAAAATAAATCAACCACGAAGCATAAAAGAGCAGGTATCTTGATACAATGCCCACTAGACTATCAGGGTCAGCCTTTGCACGACACAATTAACCTGGTTACAGAATTAAGCCAGGTATGGAATTTGCACTGTTTGCCACTAAATCAAGCTTGTTATGCAAACACAGCCGTGGACCCTAGAACTGAGCTGAGAAAGCCGGGCGAACAGAGTTTAGAAGAAAGACCAGTTTCTCTGTTTTGCCCTCCCTCAAACCGGATTCTGGTTCCCGAGCCAAAACAATGCCCTGTTTCTTCCCGGCCACAGAGGCCTTTCCGGGTTCCGGTTTCATCCTCCTTGTTAATTATTTGAGGAACGAGCGAGAGCTTGGGAAAGGCTCGGCCGTCTCTTAGCTGCAGCACCATCTACAGGTCTTGCCGCTTTCCTGTTCCAGGCCAATAATTTCACAGGGGCGGTTAGAGTATCATTCTTGGCGAATTCTCTCCCTTGTGTGTGTGTGCAGGTGGAAGGTTGAGGGCGCTGACCCCCCCCTCTCCCGACCCTTTCGTCTGCAGAGGTCAGTGTGACCGTGGGTCCAAGGCCCCGAAGGGAGAGGGCCTTGGTGCAGTTGACCCCCGTGCCAAGCACCTTGCAAACTGGCCCCTTCCCAAGACAGGGCGGGCTTGAAGGCTGAAGAGAAGAGGGGGTGCTAGAAGCAAATAGGGACATCCTTGTTTGGAAGAAGTCCACACACACACACACACCCCGCCACCCCCGCAGAATCCTTGTGGACTACTCGGACCTTCTAAGCTGAGAAGGGAGAGAGGTCTGAGATTGCGGGTTCAAAGCCCACCCACCCCACTCTCATTAAACAAGCTGGAGGGTTGAGGCCAGGCCTTGTCCCAGGTTAATCTGCCCCCAGAAGTTGGTGGAGTGGGGGGGAAGGACTTCTCCAACCTGTCACCTCCCTTCTCAGGGACACGGTGGCCCCCGTCGCTTGTGTAAAGGGCAGCCAGGGGCAATGCCAGCATCCCCTCCGCTGGGCTCTCTGCCCCTCGCCCCTCTCCACGGCCAAGAGCGGACTGGAGCCGCCTTGAGGTCTCTTCGGGAGGCGCAACTGGGCCGGCAACCCAAAAGCGAGGAAGGCAGAGCGCGGGCGGGACGGAGCTTGCTCTGAAGGCGGCCGAGGCCCCGCCGGGACGAGCCTCCGGGCTGCCCGCCTCCCCCTCCCTCTTCCCCGGGGCGCGGCTGCCTGGGCTCCCAGCCCAAAGAGGGCCGAGCGGGCGGCGCGTGGAGCGGCGCGTCTGCCTCGTCCGGGCAACCAAGGGCGACGCCGGGCCGGGGCGCGGGGCAGCTCCGGGAGAGCATGCTCAGTCCCTGCCGGCGCCCGGTGGTGGTGGTGGCGGCGGGAGCGCAACGGCCGGAGGAGAGGCAGGAACTGGAAAGGCCGCCGCCGGTCGGATGGAGACGCCGCCGCCGCCGCCGCCGCCGCCCACAGCTCAAGCCGGAGCCGCCGCCCGCGCCCGCCGGGAAGCCCGGCCCGAGGAGAAGGCGGGGGTCGCATCCTCGCCCGGGAGAGGTCCGAGCGCAGCGCCGCGGGGCCAGGCCGGCCGGCGAGGCGGCGGGGGCGGCAGCGCGCAGGAGCCGCCGCGCGAAGGAAAGGACCCTGCCGGCGGGGTAGCGCCCGCAATCCCGCCGCGGTCCCGGCCGCGCCCTCGCCGCAGCGCGCGCTCCGTCACGGTGGACAGCTCCAAGGCGCGCACCTCGCTGGAGGCGCTCAAGCTCAGCCTGCGCGAACTGCGCTGGAAGGAGGTAGGCGCGGCGCAGAGGCGGAGCGCAAGGCGCGCGCGCGGGGGCTGCTTGGCTTTTTTTTGTTTTTAACCTTCCGCGGGGCTTCCCCCCCCCCCACCGGAGCCCCGATAAGAGGGGAGGGGTCTGCTCGGATCCAAGAAGAAGAAGGGGCTAGGGAGCCGGAGAGGTTCTGAAGGACTGCAGCCCCCTGGGCTGGGCTGGTTTGGCTGTGATGGGAGCACCCGGAGGAAGCTGGTTTGGGAAGGCTCAGCTCCACCCCCCCCGTCGAAGTCTTCAGGGACCCTCACCTCCCTTCCTGCAGCTCCCATCCCTCCTTTTCCTCCCCAGTGTCCACAGAGCTGTTTGTGACATCACTGAGTGCTGCCAGAAAGGCCTTTGTGGTGTGTTGACAACCAGGGCAATTCTAGGCTCAGGGCAGGTGGGAGGGGACGGTCCTGAGCTCCTTTTGCTGGATGGCCCGGGCCCAGGCTTGTGGCCACACCAAGAACCCAACCCTTGGAGAAGCACAGGGCTGGACTCCCAGCAGGCATTGGTCTCCTTGGGGTGTTCGTTTCTCTTCCCCTGTGAAATGAGGGCAGCTGGCCGAGCCCCAGTAGCTGGCCCTGGGCTGCTCAGATCCCCAATTCCCTCCTTTCAGCCTTTCCTTAAATCAGGGATCGCCAACCAGTGGGCCGGGGACCACTGGTGGTCCGTGAGAAAATTTTGGTGGTCCTCAGAGAAATGTCCCCCCCACCCAAAGCAATTAATCCAGGCTGCGTGGGAACACAAGACTCGCATCACTTGCACTGCGAGCAACACGGGATAGTGAGGGGAGGGAGGAAAGGGTGGAGGGGGGGAATTTGCCCCACTCTCCCCACGCACCTAGCCTGGCCCCAGGTTGCTTCTTTCCGCTTCTTTCTTCTTCTGCTTTTGGCTGCACGCAAGGAAAGCAGCAAAAGTCTTTCTTTCTCTCCCCCAAACTCAGCCAGAAATCAGTCTTTTTTTTAAAAAAAATATTTTAGACAAACATACACAAACAAAACATAAAACATAAAACCGTCTTCTAGATACATACATACAGTGTGTCAGTTGGTTACAAGTCTTTTGTGCATCCTCTCCATAGTCCTCACAATTCATATAAATTCTCATATTATCAATCTATTATATATTTGTACATTATTATCATTATTAATAATTCATTTGACTATATTGTTCCATCATTTCATGCAAAATATTCAATATTTTAGATTAATTTATCTGATAACATTCATTCCATCATCCTAAATCCATCCAATAGTAGTACATCTTTATGTTATATTCTGT